CGCTCCCCCTGTCCCGCAGAGCGCGGTGAAGGAGGCGGGGGCTGTCCCGGCTCTGTCCCGGCTCTGTCCCGGTTCCATCCCGGTTCCATCCGATCCCCCCTGTCCCGCAGAGCGCGGTGAAGGAGGCGGGGGCTGTCCCGGCTCTGTCCCGGCTCTGTCCCGGTTCCATCCCGGTTCCATCCGATCCCCCCTGTCCCGCAGAGCGCGGTGAAGGAGGCGGGGCAGTGTCAGGGCTGTCCCGGGCTGTGTCAGGGCTGTCCCGGGCTGTGTCCCGGCTCTGTCCCGGCTCTGTCCCGGTTCCATCCCGGTTCCATCCGATCCCCCCTGTCCCGCAGAGCGCGGTGAAGGAGGCGGGGCAGTGTCAGGGCTGTCCCGGGCTGTGTCCCGGCTGTGTCCCGGCTCTGTCCCGGTTCCATCCCGGTTCCATCCGTTCCCCTGTCCCGCAGAGCGCGGTGAAGGAGGCGGGGCGGTGTCAGGGCTCTGTCCCGGCTCTGTCCCGGTTCCATCCCGGTCCGATCCGCTCCCCCTGTCCCGCAGAGTGCGGTGAAGGAGGCGGGGCTGTCCCAAGGCTGTCCCGGGCTGTGTCCCGGCTGTGTCCCGGTTCCATCCCGGTCCGATCCGTTCCCCCTGTCCCGCAGAGCGCGGTGCAGGAGGCGGGGGCGGTGTCAGGGCTGTCCCGGGCTGTGTCCCGGCTCTGTCCCGGCTCTGTCCCGGCTCTGTCCCGGTTCCATCCCGGTTCGATCCGCTCCCCCTGTCCCGCAGAGCGCGGTGAAGGAGGCGGGGGGTGAAGGAGGCGGGGGGTGAAGGAGGCGGGGCAGTGTCAGGGCTGTCCCAGGGCTGTGTCAGGGCTGTCCCGGGCTGTCCCGGTTCCATCCGATCCCCCCTGTCCCGCAGAGCGCGGTGAAGGAGGCGGGGCAGTGTCAGGGCTGTCCCGGGCTGTGTCAGGGCTGTCCCGGGCTGTGTCAGGGCTGTGCCGGGCTGTGACCTGGCTCTGTCCCGGCTCTGTCCCGGTTCCGTCCCGGTTCCATCCCGGTTCGATCCGTTCCCCTGTCCCGCAGAGCGCGGTGAAGGAGGCGGGGCTGTCCCGGGCTGTGTCCCGGGCTCTGTCCCGGCTGTGTCCCGGTTCCATCCCGGTTCCATCCGCTCCCCTGTCCCGCAGAGCGCGGTGAAGGAGGCGGGGCGGTGTCAGGGCTGTCCCAGGGCTGTGTCAGGGCTGTCCCGGGCTGTGTCAGGGCTGTGTCCCGGCTCTGTCCCGGTTCCATCCGCTCCCCCTGTCCCGCAGAGCGCGGTGAAGGAGGCGGGGCTGTGCCGGGTCTGTCCCGGGCTGTGTCCCGGGCTCTGTCCCGGCTCTGTCCCGGCTCTGTCCCGGTTCGATCCGGTCCCCCTGTCCCGCAGAGCGCGGTGAAGGAGGCAGGGCTGTGTCAGGGCTGTCCCGGGCTGTGTCAGGGCTGTGCCAGGGCTGTGTCAGGGCTGTGTCCCGGCTCTGTCCCGGTTCCATCCCGGTCCGATCCGCTCCCCCTGTCCCGCAGAGCGCGGTGAAGGAGGCGGGGGCTGTCCCGGGTGTGTCCCGGCTCTGTCCCGGTTCCATCCCGGTCCGATCCGTTCCCCTGTCCCGCAGAGCGCGGTGAAGGAGGCGGGGCTGTGCTGGGCTGTGTCCCGGCTCTGTCCCGGCTCTGTCCCGGTTCCATCCCGGTTCCATCCGTTCCCCTGTCCCGCAGAGCGCGGTGAAGGAGGCAGGGGCTGTGTCAGGGCTGTCCCGGGCTGTGTCCCGGCTCTGTCCCGGTTCCATCCCGGTTCCATCCCGGTCCGATCCGCTCCCCTGTCCCGCAGAGCGCGGTGAAGGAGGCGGGGGCCGAGGAGGAGCTCACTCCCGCGGCGCTGGCCCGGCAGGTGGAGGGGCTGAAGCAGCAGCTGCTCAGCTCCCACCTGGAGCGGGTGCTGGGCCCCGGCGCCGCCATCGACTTCGCCGACCCCGAGGGTGCCCTGGCCAAGTGAGTGGGGCCGGGGGGTGGCAGCGTCCCCAGGGGGGTGGCAGTGTCCCCAGAGGGGTGGCAGTGTCCCCACAGGGGGTGTGGCAGTGTCCCCAGGGGGTGTGGCAGTGTCCCTGGGGTGTGGCAGTGTCCCCACAGGGGGTGTGGCAGTGTCCCCAGGGGGTGTGGCAGTGTCCCTGGGGTGTGGCAGTGTCCCCACAGGGGGGGTGACAGTGTCCCCAGGGGGGTGACAGTGTCCCCAGGGGGGGTGACAGTGTCCCCAGGGGGGTGACAGTGTCCCCAGGGGGGGTGACAGTGTCCCTGGGGTGTGGCAGTGTCCCAGGGGGGTGGCAGTGTCCCAGGGGGTGTGGCAGTGTCCCCAGAGGGTGTGGCAGTGTCCCAGAGGGGGTGGCAGTGTCCCGGGGGGTGTGGCAGTGTCCCCAAGGTGTGGCAGTGTCCCTGAGGGTGTGGCAGTGTCCCTGAGGGTGTGGCAGTGTCCCCAGGGAGGTGGCAGTGTCCCAGAGGGGGTGGCAGTGTCCCCAGGGGTGTGACAGTGTCCCCAGGGGTGTGACAGTGTCCCAGAGGGGGTGGCAGTGTCCCAGAGGGTGTGGCAGTGTCCCCAGGGGGTGTGGCAGTGTCCCTGGGGTGTGACAGTGTCCCCAAGGTGTGGCAGTGTCCCCAGGGGGGTGGCAGTGTCCCAGAGGGGTGTGACAGTGTCCCCAGGGAGGTGGCAGTGTCCCCAAGGTGTGGCAGTGTCCCAGAGGGTGTGGCAGTGTCCCCAAGGTGTGGCAGTGTCCCTGGGGTGTGGCAGTGTCCCCAGGGAGGTGGCAGTGTCCCCAAGGTGTGACAGTGTCCCCAGGGGGGTGGCAGTGTCCCCAAGGTGTGGCAGTGTCCCTGAGGGGTGGCAGTGTCCGTGGGGGGTGTGGCAGTGTCCCCAAGGTGTGGCAGTGTCCCAGAGGGTGTGGCAGTGTCCCCAAGGTGTGGCAGTGTCCCAGAGGGGGTGGCAGTGTCCCTGGGGTGTGGCAGTGTCCCCAGGGGTGTGGCAGTGTCCCCAGGGAGGTGGCAGTGTCCCCACAGAGGTGTGGCAGTGTCCCTAGGGGGTGTGGCAGTGTCCCCAGGGGGGTGGCAGTGTCCCCAGGGGGGTGGCAGTGTCCCAAAGGGTGTGGCAGTGTCCCTGGGGTGTGACAGTGTCCCAGGGGGGGTGGCAGTGTCCCCACAGGGGTGTGGCAGTGTCCCCACGGGGCTGGCACAGGGACCCTGCCCACCTTGTCCCTGTGCCCACCTTGTCCCTGTGCACCCCTGTCCCTGTGCCCCCTGTCCCTCGTTGTCCCCACCTTGTCCCTTTCCCCACCTTCTCCCTGTGCCCCCCTTGTCCCTGCACCCCCCTGTTCCCCTCCACTCCTGCCCCCTCCATCTCTGTACCCCCTGTGCCTCCCCCTCTCCCTGTCTCCACCTTGTCCCTGTGCCCCTCTGTCCCTGTGCCCCCTTCCCTGTCCCCACTTTGTCCCTGTGCCCCTTGTCCCTCCTCTCTGTCTCTCCCCCCTGTCCCTGTCCCC